ATATATATACATACATATAGTGAGCATACGACGTTAACGCGCACCCTTGTCGCGCACGCCCTCTCGCGGCGAAGCGATGAGTAAAGGTCAGGCGTGCGCATAGAAATATATGGAGACAGAATATTGACAGAAATATATGGAGTCTACCTAGATATTATTTCTATGGGCGTACGTCACCGGGAATCCGCCTCAGCTTATACAGCCTGCTGCTCAGCTTGGCTCGGCTACGCAGCTAAGCCTCGCACGATCTCTCGCGCGCACGTATTATCGGCTGCATCTGAGCGCGTTATCACTGAGAGGAACTAGACAGAGTGCACTCACGGAGAATGCATACCTCCGCCAGCGACATACGCCATACGCCATACGACTGACAGACGAATAACCCACGATATACGCCAGCGTACTGACATATATATACGCTGGCTTGCTGGCATGCTGCTCGCTCGCTCGTAGCAGCCGCTCGTTGCTGCTGCTCGCTCACATGTACACGCTCGCTGGGTCGCTGCGCTGGCTGGCTCGCTGGCTCGCTGACTCGACGCGCTAATATCGATCACACGCGCGAACACACGAACACACAAACACACTAACGCACGAGAGCGATCACATAACCTCCTCCAACTCCGTTGGGCGGAGGTAATTAGGAGGCAGGATGTATGTAGCTAACCGGCGCGCGTGAAGCTCGAACCAACCCGCTTTACGAGTCCAGGGAGAGATGGCGAGGGACCGGCGGGAGGGAGGGGAAAATAGAGAGGGAAAAGATGGGTTGGTGGTGGGTGGGTGGTTATTTTGGTGGGTTGGTAGGTAAGTATGCAGGCAAACAGGCAGGCAGGCAGGTGGGCAGATAGGCAGGCAGGTGGGCAGGCAGGTAGGTAGGCAGGCGGGCGGCGGAGCAGGCAGCCAGGCAGACAGGCAGGCAAGCAGGCGGGCAGGTAGATAGAGAGGTATCGTTGATGATGTTGGCCTTGTCTTTGTTTTTCTCGCGGCGATAGCGACGGTGATAGTGGTGAATAAGATTTGATGACCTTAGCTTTAAGCCTAGATTTATATTTAGAGTCTGGAAGATTTTTTTGCGATAACGTTATAATTTTGTATATTCGTCACGAGGTGGTCCTCTGAAGTCTCTATGGGTTTGGCGTTGTTAACCAACGTCCTCCGCCAAATATATCTACAATGCACTCTAGTGTCGACTTTAGTGTCCCCTCCAGCATCCACTCTAGTGTCCACTTTGTCCACTTTCTAGTCCACCACTCTGTCCACTCTAAGGGCCGCACGTTAGCGTCCGCACCATAGATTGCGTTAAATGATTTGTGTCGAGCTTTTAAATGTCAAAATAACTCAGTCACACTTGAATATGTCATAGATAAGTTTATATTATTCTAGTAATTAAAAAAAAATCTGCGACCTATGAGCTGACACATGTCCACGCCGCAGGTGGCGTGCCTACCTGCGGTCTCTTATTGATTGTAATGGGTTTCTTGACCCCGATAATGTTGGTTTAGACACCAAAATCTTGTTTCTGTGTTGAATATTAGCTGAAAAATGTAAGATAATGGATTTTGATGGTGTCCATTTTTAAATTCAAGATGGCGCCCAGATACCATGCCGATGGAGATGGGTACCCGATCTCCTATGAATGTACATATCTTAAACTACCTTTATGCCAATTTTCATGCTTTTGTCAAAAAGTGCACAATTAATTCATCTGATTTTTGGCTCTTAGCTCCTGTACTATCTAGGACAAACTAGCCTCAAACTTGAAAATGGCGGCCATTTTGGATTTATGCTAATTAGCCAGTTTCCCGTCGGCCGATTTTGGCCCATTTTGCATATGAAGTTTAGGAGGGTCCAATCTCAACTTCAACATCTCAAATCAACAACTTCCAACAATAAAACCTTCTGTTGCAATTTGTTCCGGGTAGGCCAAACAATTTCCCCCGTGTTACCTGGTTACATACACACACAGGCGCACACACGCGCACGCGCACGCACGCACACTCCCGCTCACCCGCACTGTCGCACGCGTTTACGTACGTATGTGCACTCACGCGCACACGCCGTACGGCCATATACGCGCACACATGCGCACAAACGGGCGCTCCCGCTCACCCGCACTGCCGTACGCACGCACACGCACGCGCGCACACACTTGAAGCTAATTGCCCACTTCTCTCCATCGGCCGATCCATCCATCACGTTGATGGATTTTCAATCGCACATGTCGACCCTGCAGCTTGAATTCGCCTCGCCCAGGTCTCTCTCATTCATCCAGATTTCATACACTGCCATGCCGCATGATTAGAATCTCATCTGCCTCCCGAGAGAGAGCCTAATGGAGAAACAGCTACGTGTATACGGTAGTGACACCTGCCGGCGAGGCCCGAGGGGAGGAGGAGGAGGAGGAGGGAGCTATAGGCGGAGGGGGGAGTAGGAGGGGGAAGAAGAGGAGGAGGATTAGGGGAGGAGGATTAGGGGAGGAGGATTAGGGGAGGAGGGGGGAAGCTGGTGTCGTGCACTAATCACCTCTATATAAAAACGTGATAAGTATAGAGATTAGTTATATATAGAGATAGGCCTAAGTTATATATAGAGATAACGTGTTAGTATATAGAGATAAGTTATATATAGAGATAACGTGTTATATATAGAGATAAGTTATATATAGAGATAACGTGTTAGTGTATAGAGATACGTTATATATAGAGATAACGTGTTATATATAGAGATAACGTGTTAGTGTATAGAGATACGTTATATATAGAGNCCGCACCCGCCGAGAGTCCGTCCGGTCGTCAGAATTTCATTAAGTTTTCCAAGTGCTCAGATTAATTGCTTTTAATTGCGTTCCGTGGGATGGTCTAGGCGGATTCGCCCAGGCCGCCTTCTCATTAATGTTGCAGTAGTGGCGCACACAACCAGAATTTCCTGAGCACCCTCGTCTATAATATTAATAAGTTTAATTTCATTTTAGCCGGAGGCAGTTCGGTTGTTGGGAGCGGGATGGGATACGAGAGAGAGTGGCAGAGACAGGGGGGAGAGGGTAGAGAGAGAGAGAGAGAGAGAGAGAGAGAGAGAGAGAAGAGAGCAGAAGAAGAGAGGAGAGAGAGGAGAGAGCGCGAGAGAGAGAGAGAGAGAGAAAGAAAGAGAGAAATAGATATAGGATGTCTGTGTGTGCATGCGTGCTTGTGTGCGTGTGTGCCAGTATATATATATATATATTTATTTATATATATGTATAGCGTTCGCCGTTTTTTTATGCATTACGAGTCGATACTTCTTACCCATGAGCTTACGCTCGGGTTCGATCACTGGATTAGTCAGTGTATATATGAGATAGCAAACAATAACACATATATAAAATTCACTCGCCAGGCTCGGCCTAGCATTTATTCTCTTATAACAGATTTGTTTAATCGCTGTAACGTGAGAGCTAGTGAAAGAGAGTTGTAAATGTTGACGAAGTATATCAAATCCTAATGAGTTGTAGGACTGAGTGAGCTTGTACATGATACATAAGCAAGGTTGGTGTTCAACTGGTCAGCAATACCGCTTGTACTGTAAAAGAGTTTTACTATCACTGTTTTTCACAAACAATTCTCCTTTATTCAACAAAAACACATGAATGTTAATATATAATGTAGGCAATCCGATTTTTGTGTGAGTATATAGCATAGCAATTTCTCAAGTTTACAAGACATATGGACGGAATATCGTGGATTTCAAGCCTGTTCCCCGAAAAACAAGAAATCACAGACCCCTGCTTTACCCTGCTTTACCACCCTGCTTTCAGCTGTCTCTCTTTCTACGGTGACTAGCTATATCATGTATACTATTACATTGTTTACACAGTTACACAGTCAATGAAGTTTTTACGAAAGCTTTGCAACGAGAATCCATCACCCTGATTAGAATATACGCATTCCTACCAGCATTATGGTGACCAGCCTAGTCCCTTTCATTTTCATTGCTTTCAAATTCTTTATAAATTTCTCCGTTGCTTTGGTCGGTTACAGGTTTGTATATATGCCTGGAAAGCAATATGTACGGTTTACATGGTGAGTCGTATTTGTCCGTTGGCTGGTCAAGTGAAATTACCAGAAACTGAATTAACAAAACCCTCTTTGTATTCATAAGTTGTAGTTCAGTCAACTGTCGTAGTTCAGATTAGATATGAATTCGACGAATCTTCACGTAATATCTTTAGATATTTATCACGAGACTATAAGTCCTATATAAAAGTCTTAGCGATAATAAGTCCTAAAAACTACTGCAGCTTACCTTGTGAATCAACAAGCTCTCTCGTGCACAGGTTGCGCGTTACAAGCACACAGCAATATTGGCGGCAACGTTCTTGAGAATGTGCGCTGTCTAAGACTACTGGCTTTTTATGGTCGCATGTAGGACTGTATGTTGTCAATCAATCTCTGGTCATGTCTCACAAGTAAACTACGGCGACACATACACACACGTACACAATATGCCAGTACACACAAATATAGGGCGTGCTTCGTTATTGCTGTGCTGATTAGTTAGGCATTGAATTGTTACGAGTAAAACTCGGGCAAGCTTCTATTGTAAGGTAACTCATGGCAGGGCGGCCAGAAGTGCGGTTAATTAAGCTGGCGCGCTTCAGTACCAGTTGCTAGTTGCACACCATTAATATTATTGTAATGCTATAAGACGTGGTCGCTCGTTGTAGCCCCACGTGCCCCCTATGATGAAAGATACTAGATCATTACTGCGCTGTTGTTAGAATAACCAGCTAGTGACAGCCGGTCGGATTGTAAACTGTCCGGACTGTCTTTGACACAATATATATATATATATATATATATATATATATAATTATGATATTAATATATATATATATATATATATCACAGTACTACCTTAGCGGTTATTCGTAGGCTGTGCTTCCTCCCCTTCGTTCGTGTTCATTCTTTGTTGCTGCATTGACTGGAAACGGGGTGAAACGCAACTGTTACCTACTTCACGTTTACAAATCGTGTTTTTTGAATTATGCATTAGTGTGCTGACTCGTCAGTGTGATCGTGAGCCTACGTGTACCGAATATGCAATATACAGTATATATATATATATATATATATATATATATATATATATATATATATATATACATATAAGACGTAGTAGTCTAGTAGAACAGACGATATATACGACTATTATGCGGCCTCGGGCCCTGGCGGCGAACAGAGCGCCCCCGTGTGGCGGTCAGCAGGCGAGTAGCTCGCGCGCGCGCGGCCCTTTCTCGCTTTCGTTGAAATCTTTCTCGTTTCGATTTTAATTACGCGTCGTTAAGGTGTGACGTTAATCGGCGCATGATTTAGCGACAATTGTGCGGCGGTGCGTCATTACGGGCGTAGAAGGGCGGCAAGCGGAAGACTGAGAGCGGAGGACTCGATACGGCATGCAAATTCTCTCAGCAGCAGTAATAGCAGCAGCAGCAGCGGCGCGGGAGTAGCAGCAGCAGCAGTAGTAGTAGTATGGTGGTGGTGGTGATGGTGGTGGTGGTGCTGGTGGTGGTGGTGCTGGTGGTTGGTGGTGGCGCGGTGGCGGCGGCCGGCGGCGGCGGCTGCAGCGGCAGCGGCAGCGCAGGCAGCAGCAGCAGGCAGCAGCAGTAGGCTAGTAGCAGTAGTAGTAGTAGTAGTAGCAGCAGCGCAGCAGCAGCAGCAGCAGCGGCGGCTGAAGGCAGCAGCCAGCAGCATCAGCAGCAGCAGCAGCAGCAGCAGCAGCAGAGTAGTAGTAGTAGTAGTAGCAGTAGTAGTAGTAGAGCAGGTAGCAGTAGCAGTAGCCGGTAGCGCGGTAGCGGCGGCGGCGGCGGCGGCGGCAGCAGGCAGCAGCAGCGGCAGCAGTAGGCAGCAGCAGTAGTAGTTAGTAGGCAGCAGCAGCAGCAGCAGCAGCAGTATCAACAGCAGCAGTAGTATTAGCAGCAGCAGCAGAAAGCGGCAGTATCATATCATCATCAGCAGCAGAAGAAGCGGCAGTATCATCATCAGCAGCAGCAGCAGAAGCGGCAGTATCATCATCAGCAGCAGCATCAGTAGCGGCAGTATCAGCAGCGAAAATAGCAGCAGCAATATTAGCAGCAGTAGTAGTATTAGTAGTAGCGACAGCAGCAATATCAGCAGCGCAGTGGCAGCAGCAGTAGTAGTAGTAGTGGCGGCAGCACCAATATCAGCAGTGGCAATACTAGTGATCATCATCATCAGCAGCAGCAGCAGCAGCAGCACTATTAGCAGCGGCAGTGGCAGCAGCAGTAGTATCAGCAGCAATATTAGCAGCAGTAGTAGTAGTAGTAGTAGCGGCAGCAGTAGCAGCAGCAACATCATCATCAGCTGCAGCAGCAGCAAAGTGGTTTCTCGGTGCGGGTTTGTGCGTGGATTGAGTTTTCGTGATGTATTTGATGCTGCTGCGCGTGAGTGAATGAGTGAAGTCTGAGTGAATGGCAGCGGGGTGGGAGGCGGGGGTAGTTAGCAGGATTTATGCGTGCACTGTGGCGAGACAAACGACGGAGTGATTTCAATTAGCCTTTGTTCTCTTTTCCCCCCTCTCTTTCTCTCCTCCCTCTCTCTCTCTCTCTCTCTCTCTCTCTCTCTCTCTCTCTCGTTCTCTCTCTCTCTCTCCTCTCTCTCTCTCTCTCTCTCTCTCTCTCTCTCGCTCTTCGCTCTCTCTCCCTCTCGTTCTCTCTCTCTCTCACTCTTTCACTCTCTCTCCCCCTCTCCTCCTTTCTCCCACTCCTCCCCCAAACATTGCTCACACCCAGCGGTATCATTGATGGCCGTTTGTTTCTTCCGAGCAAGAAATGCTAATTGCTGTTTAATTAGCATAATAATTAGCCTATGTACTTTACGCGTCACGTTGCGCGGCTGTAGGTATGGGATTCTGGCTAGGGAACGTGGGGAGCAGGGCCGCGGGGTGTATGTGTAGCATATACCATTCGCAGACGGAGTATTTAGTAGCTATATGCTAGTGTCGGGAAACTCGTTTTCATTGTGATTAGAAGCGTAGACGCTCTAGGGGTGTGTTCCGGGACCTATTTTTTACTACTATACAATCTACTATATATAATATAGTATATATACTATAGTATATATATCTACTATACTATACTAATCTAGTATGCGAACAGGCGTGCTGATGTTTCGTAGGCAGAGACCCGTAATACGGACCATTTCTAGTTATTTATCTTGTTACCTTGTTAATCGGCGGAATATGGTGGGGGAATAATGGGGCTATATATACATTGTTTTCATTGTATAGACTGTATATGCGTTGTTCTGTTTTGGTGGCAAGATGAGATTCGTTAGCTGCGCACACCGTGTTGCTCTGTTTTATATCTAACATTCTAAATTATACTATATATGCACTGTGGTGTAACGAAAGGGTTTCCCTCCTCTTTCTCGCTCTCTTTCGCTGCTTTCTATCTATCTCCTTCTGCTCTTCCCTCCACAATCTCTCCTCCCCCCCCCCCCCCCCCGCCTCTCTTCTCTCTCTCTCTCTCTCTCTCTCTCTTCTGCTCTCACTCTCTTCTCTCTCTCTCTTTCTTTCTCTCTCTTCTCTCTCTCTGCTCTCCTCTCTTCCTCTCGACAGCTTCGCCCTCTCGTTTTCATTCTCCGTGTCTCTCACCGCACGCTCCAGTTGCTCTCACTCGTTTCCTTGCTTCCTCTCCTGACTCCCGCCCTTCCACTCGCGTTCATTCTTGCTTTTCTTACTCTGTATGTCACATTCTATATATATCTCTCTCCTTCGCTCTCTCGCTGCGTTAGTCTTATCAGCCGCCCATCCTTTCGCCATCGTTTCATGGTGCTGGTTGATGCCCTCGTGGCGGATGCTGGCTGTGGATGCGGATGATGCTGGCGACTGATCTGTATCATGTCATCACGTGAAGCTGGTGGCATTCCGTAGCTTGAAGGTGCATTTATGTAGCAGAAGGTTGCATTCCGTAGCATGAAGGTGGCATTCCGGTAGCAAGGTGAGCATTTGTTAGCTGAAGGTAGCATACCGTAGCCAGAAGGTGGCATTTTGTAGCTGAAGGTAGCATTTTGTATCTGAAATGCCTACCTCCTGCCTGCCCTGCCTGCTACCTGCCTGCTTGCCTGTCTACCTATATGCCTGCCTGCCTACCTGCCTGCCTGCCTGCCTACTACCTACCCCTGGCCAACCTACCTGCCTCTCTACCTGCCTGCCTACCTACCTAGCTGCCTACCTACCTACCTGCCTGCCTTGCCCATGCACCTCTCTACATTCCTGCCTCGCTCTCTACCTGCCTGCTTACCTGCCTGCCTGCCTGTCTACCTATATGCCTCTCCGACCTGCCTGCCTGTTCAACCAGCTTGACTAAGCATCTGCCGGGTGACCTATGATCGTGTCCGGTCACCTGATAGATCGGTGTCCGGTGACCTGATGATCGGTGACCGGTGACCAGGTGATCGGTGTCCGGTGACCTTGATGATCGTGTCCGGTGACCTGATATCGGTGTCGGTGACCTGATGATCGGTGTCCGGTGACCTGATGATCGGTGTCCGGTGACCTGATGATCGTGTGGACCGTGACCAGGTGATCGGTGTCCGGTGACCTGATGATCGGTGACCGGTGACTGATGATCGATTGTCCGGTGAATGATGATTCCGTGTCCGCAGTGAACCTGATGATGCGTGTCCCGGTGACCTGATGATCGGTGTCCGGTGACCTGATGATCGTGTCTGGTGACTTGTGATCGGTGACCAGCTGAACTGGTGATCATGAAGATGCAGCAGCGGTAACGCGGCCAGCATTAAACAGCTCGCAATCATGCATCGAAGACAAAACACGACGCAGAGCGAGACCGTGGCATCCATAGCCTCCTCTCTCTTCTCTCTCTCTCTCTCTCTCTCTCTCTCTCTCTCTCCCATCTCTCTCTCTCTCTCTCTCTCTCTTTCTCTCTCTCTCTCTCTCTCTCTCTATCTATCTATCGCTTTGATATTTGAATAACGAGGTGTGATTATCAGCACTCTATCATGCAGCAGCAATAGCAGCAGCAGCAGCGACAGCGACAGCGACAGCAGCGACAGCGACAGCGGCAGCAGCGACAGCGACAGCAGCGACAGCAGCGACAGCAGCGACAGCAGCGGCAACAGCGACAGTAGCGGCAGCAGCGGCAGCAGCGACAGCAGCGACAGCAGCGACAGCAGCGACAGCAGCGACAGCAGCGACAGCAGCAGACACATCGCATTGATACATCACCCGCCTCGTCGTCACCCCCGTCGCCCTTCCCGCGCCTGCGCATGCGTCATCACCTCTCTAACCCGCGCCCGACTGCGCATGCGTTATCACCTCGCTCACCTCTCTCACCCGCGTCCGACTGCGCATGCGTCATGACCTCGCTCACCTCTCTCACCCGCCTTCGACTGCGCATGCGTCATCACCTCGCTCACCTCTCTCGCATTTTTTAGCGCGAACCGCGACCTGTTTTTCTCGCCTGATTTTCTCGCGATGTTCGCGTTGTGTCGCACT